GCGACTCCCGGCGGCGCAGCCTTTCTGGTTTTAATTAGAGCCGAGGCGCCATTGCGTGGAGCCCACAGCATTGTATGTAAATGAGGCTCATAAAACTTTTTATGGCCCAATTAATGGGTTCGATCCTCGTAAATTTATTTAACTCCGTTTGCCTTGGAATTTTAACATTAAGTTTGTTCGCTATTCTCCTTCTCTCTCTCTCCCTCCTCTGTCACCCTCCCTCCCTTTCTTCTTCTCTCCCTCCCTCCTCCTCTTCCTTTCTGCCTGGCTTTTCTTTCTCAAAAGCTGGGATGGTCAACCCCTCCAGGGGCCTTCACGCGCCCCTGTGCCAGGGGCTGTTTCAGGAGGGAAGCCGGGAAGGGCTGGAGACGGAGGGTCGGAGTGCCCTCGAAAGGTCCCGAGGATGGGGCGCGGGCTGCTGGGAAGGGGCGCCCACTTGCCTAGCAAGGCGAGGAAGCGGCCGGGATCGCCGCTGAATGGCCAAAGTGCGGCGTCTCCCACTCGCCCACACTCTATATTTACAATTTCTCTTTGTCAGGGGGAAGCAGGACATTGTGGAAACGTAGCCGGCTGGAAAGGTCGGCTGGAAAGTTGGGATTCTGCGCCTTCGCTCGTTGCAGAGCGGCCTGCGCGTCTGGCCCCGCCGCTGGGGTCTTCCGTGGACACTCCCAGTCCTCCCCCAGCCCATGGGCGGGGGGCAGAGGGGCATGCGCTCCTGGGACTGGGGCCGCAGGAGGGTGCAGGCCCGGGACAGCAGCCTGGCGAATGCCCCGTCCCGTCCTCCTGTCTGTCCGCGTGTCCATGTGTCGCGTGTCTGTTCTCAGGGCCGGACAGGAAGCGGGGCCGCCAGACCTACACGCGCTACCAGACGCTGGAGCTGGAGAAGGAGTTCCACTTCAACCGCTACCTGACGCGGCGCCGCCGCATCGAGATCGCCCACGCGCTCTGCCTGACCGAGCGCCAGATCAAGATCTGGTTCCAGAACCGCCGCATGAAGTGGAAGAAAGAGCATAAGGACGAAGGTCCAGCTGCCGCTGCAGCCCCCGAGGGCGCCGTGCCCTCTGCCGCCACTGCAGCCGCCGCCGCCGCCGCCGCCAAGGCCGACGACGACGACGATGAGGAAGAGGAGGATGACGATGAGGAGGAGTGAGGGGCCGAGCCAAGGCCCTCGCTGCAGCGGACAGTCGGAAGCGCGTCTTCAAGAGACTCACTGGTTTTATTTACGAAAATGGGAAAAAGAAAAAGAAAATGTAAAAAAAAAAAAAAAAAAAAATCCCAGTCCCTGACCCGCACTCCACCCACCCCATCACCTACTCTGGCTCCCAACTCTTCTGGATTGAGCGACGACCAAGACTGAGTCGCCTTGGGGACCCCCGCCCCCCTCTGCCTCCGAGGACCCCAACAGTCACTCCCCAGCCCCAGGCCAGTCAGCCCCGCGCTGGCGCGGCCAAAATACTACCTAGCACAGGCCTCCCCAAGAGGCACCCCCAAACTACCTATGGGTCCAGCCCTAGAGGGTCTCCACTCCCAGGAAGGCTGGACCAGTCCCAACACTGGCAGACACCCAGCACCACCCCCCATACCTGCAAGAACATGACTCTCAGTACTACCTACTCCCCCAAAACTACCTATTTTGTGCTGGCTGGCTTGCCTGCTACCTAGTGCCGACTTCTCCCAGGCCAAGCCCTTGCTGCTTATGGCGCACAGCCTTTGGGGTCCCCGAGGCTGCCCTGAGAATGTGCTGGGGCCCAGGGCATTGGCATCTATTTAAATTGAAAAATAATATATTTATTCCAAAGCATTCTAAGTGCTGCACCCTAGAATCCCTCTCTCTCTGCTTAGCACCCGAAGTTCAGGCCCATCACCCTCCATTTCTGGGGGGAGCATTCCTGAGCTAGCTGCAGACCTGCTTTGTAGGACTGTGGAGATGCCCCCAGCTTCGCTGTCCTGTCCTCTGGCCCCTGTGTCCTACTGTTCAGCTGTGTCAAATACGTACACCCTGACGTTTCCTACAATAGCGAATACTGTATATTTGAACAAGATTTTTTTTGGTTATTTCTATAGTCTTGGAGTTCATTTGTAAAGCAATGTCTTGACTTGGGAAGGATGTGTTAACGGGGTGACTTTGTAGCATGGTGTGTTGTCTTGAGCTGACTCTGTAGTGGGTGGGGAGGCCCAGTGCCCTCCTCAATGCCCTTCATCTCCTGTGTTGTCCTGTGTCCCCTCAGCTCCAGCCTGGGGTCCAGGGAAGTCACTGCTTCCCAGCCCAGCTAGCCGTGTTTTATGTAACAAAAATAAAAATGCTTGGTGACAAAGAAAAGTGTGAACTGTGTTATCCAGAGGGGCCTGGGGAAGGGGAGGTAAGCATGGCCGGAGGGCGATCCCTGGCTGTGTCTGTGTGTACAAAAGGCTGCTGGGGAAGCAAAAGTGGGGTGACTGTCCTCAAGTCCAAGTTTCAGGTGTATATGCGCAAGTCATGTCCCTTTTTATGGACTTTTGTGTGTATTTGTGCCTATTTTGTGTGTATTTCTGTGTACGTTTGTATTTTTACACAATTCCATAATTGTGTCTATTTTGGTGTCCATAATTGGGTGTATGTGTTTCCATGTCTCTGAGCGTGTGTGCTTTCCTGTGTTCATAATGGTCTGTGTGCCTTTCTCTGCGTAGAGACTTTTGTCTGACTTTTTGTGTGTGCTCCCACCTCTTGATCCCTTGAAAACAGAATCTCCAGTAGATGCATTATATTCTATGAACCTACATAAATTCCATAGGAAATTTCAGATCCATCCTATCCTCTAAGTCTGGGGATTGAGCTTGGAAAGGGGTATTATTACCCTGTGTCTGAGCCCAGATTATTCCGCATGCGCCCTGAACTCGGCCCCCCGAGCTAGGAAATGGGATTTAGGGCCGCTGCCGCAGTCCCCCCACCCCGCCTTCGGGCGGGGAGGGCGCCCCAGGGCCCAGCACTGCAGCAGAGGGGTGCGGGAGGGGCCGCGGACCCCTGCTGGGCTGCGCAGCCTCTGCAGGGGCGGCAGGGTGCGGGGAAGGGGCAGAGGCGAGGGGCGGCGAGGGCAGCGCAGGGCATTCGGAGATCCGCCGGGGAGACCTCGTCGCCAGTCTGCCGCCTGGGTTGGGCCCCGCTTCTTAAGGCTCTTTTAATAAAGCAGGACCCAAAAGGGTCTGTAAAGCCGGAGGCCCCAAATCGGGGCGGCCTCCGTGGTAAGATGGCGCCGGTGTAAGAGCTGCCTCCTCTCAGTGATGGGGAAGGGGTCATAAATCCGTTGTTGTTTATGAAAATTTACAACTTTGCAATACAACTTTATGAGTTGTTCGGCCCTTCCATTGGCCGCTGTCGGTCATGTGGATGGGAACCGTGAACATGAACTTTTTTATAATTTCCCTTGCGAGAATAGAGCCGCATTCTTTTGCTCCGCTCCGTCCTGCCTGCTTCGGAGCTCTGCCTTCCAGCCCGGCTCGGCTGCGCTTTGTCCGGCGATGGCGAGCGAGGGGAAGCCCTGGCCAGGCCGGGCCTGGCGGCTCCCGCTGGAGGTGGGGCGCGCCCAGTCCCCGGAGCCGCGCCGGCAGCTTCGCGACTCGCAACCTGGCTAATTTCCTGCGTCCTCTGGCACCAGGAAGGAGGACAGTTCATCTCTCGGCTGCCCAAGCGACAGCTGTCAGAGGGGCAGGAGCTTCTGGGAGCCGCCATCTGAAGGTGAGACATGTGGGGAGGAGACAGGAGCAAAAGTGGTGAGGTGACAGCCGGCGGCGGCAGCGGTGGAAGGGGCACTCCGGGTGGCTTTGAAGAGGGCGTACTCACCCTCACCCTTGCTCACGCATTCACACTCGCCTCCGTCACACACTAGGCGACACACACACACACACACACACACACACACACACACACCACTCCCTCTTCCCCTCCGGGGCTCACCATGACAGTAAGTGCCCGCCTTCCTTCCGTGGCACAGCGCCCTGGCACAGGGCAGCACCACTTGGGTCTTCTCTCCCCCATCCCCAGCGACCCCACGAAGCCCAAAGGGAAGTGACCCCGCACTCTGCCTTCCCCCGCCAGCCTCTTGGATTTGGATTTTTGGTTTTTTACCATTCATGCCCACTTGGTTTGATTACATTTTCCCAACGACAGGAGGCAGTTCCCTACCTGGGAAGGTGGGAAGAGGTGAGCGCAAAGTGCCTTGACCCACGGGCGTTTTGTTAGCATCAACACTGCACTTTCCGTTCCGTGGGAAATGGTTTCGGAGAGAAAGGTAGAACTGGAGGGAAACAAACGAAAACTTACTAATTCAGCCAGAGTGCTCCGCGGGCGGCCTGCTTCTCTCTGCCCGGCTTTCCGATGAGAGGTGTCTGAAGCGCGCGAGAGGGACTAATGCGTGGGTGGAATTCTGTGTTGGAGGAGAGGAGGGGGTTAATTGGCTGGATGTTACTTGGCGGGAAGTTTCGGTGCAGAGGACGTTGTAGTGTTGGCGCGGGTGGCGAGGGCCCGCCGCTAAGGTGGAAGGAAGGACGCACACTGAGCCTGGGCGATCAGGGGACCCCCCCAATCCACCTCGGCATGGCGGACTGGCGTCCGCGCTCCCCCCCGAAGGGCTGTGGAGCTGCCGGGAGGAGGCGCGGAGGGTGCCGCTGGCGGTGGCTTTGCGTAGCGGGTGGCACGAACTGTGGCTCGGCCTAGACGCGCGTCGGGCCAGATTTGCCCTGGCAACTCCCGGGGCAGCGACAAGAACCGATCCCGGGGTGCTGGGCTCGAGTGCTTTTGTGTTTTGGTTTTGCTTGTTGCTTCCCCGTCTTGCTAGAATATCTTGGTGTGCATGAGCTAAATACGAAGGGGCCGTGGATGTTTGGGACGTTCACTGGCGCCCGGGGAGCGCACCCCGGGCGGATAAAGCGGCGCATTTGCATCCTAGGGCCGCTGGCTTCCTGACTGCGGCTGCCGCGGGCAGATTATTTATTGCGACCGTGCAGGGCGCTCGCTGCTGCCACGCTGTGGCCGTCGCCGGGACCGGCGCCAGCCGCAGCCCGCCTCTTGCAGCCTGGTGCGACCGCTGTTCGGGCCCCTCAGAGATTTCCCAGCAGGCAGGAGAGAGAGGGACGAAAGGGGACCTGGGGGGCGGCCTCCCAGGGCCTGTTTGGCCGGGAAATATCCCCGTCTCGGCCACCCCCGACAAGAGCTGGACGCTGGAATAGACTCGGGTCCTCCTCCCACCCCCACCCCAGCACCATGGAGACTGGTTGCACAGGCCGCCTGGCACGTCATGTCTGCTTCTGTCCTAACTGCGAGACCCAAGGCGCCCTGGGGGCCACGCTGGTTCGGGGAACGCGCTGGCTTTGGGATTCTGAAATCGGAGAGACCACTTGTAGTCCTGAGGCCTGCAGGCCTCGCTGGCTCTGAGGAGGACTGGCTATGGCAAGGAAGGCCGGCTTGGGTTCCGGGCGGGGGCCTGTGACTGGCAGAGGCCGCACCTGTGTGCTTTGGGCTCTGGCCTGGGCTAGCGATCTGGCTGGACCGAAGTGGCCTTCAAGGTCCCACGCCCACACACTCCCAGGGCGTCCTCCAGGATGGCGGAGGTCGAGTTGCTCAATGGGCAGCCCAGGGCAAGGGCAGCCGACTGTGGGGCCCAGCTGGCCATCCGGCGTCCCTTGGAGAGAAGCTGAAAGGTAAGTCGGCTTTCTGTGTGCCTTTAACAGAGATGAGAGCCCTGGGGTGGCCATTCTCACCATCCCAGGAGAGGCTCTCTGGAGGGTCTGGGGCTCCTATTCTTGCCTGAATAGGTCGGTCGGTCGGTCGGTCTCTCTCTCTCTCTCTCTCTCTCTCTCTCTCTCTCTCCCCACACACACGCATGCATGTGTGTATATATAGCTAGTTGGAGAGATAAATTGGTCAGCTGCCTACATGATATGCACCAGCCTTGGCTAACACTTAAAGATTTCAATGTAATTTATATTTTTCCATCTTAGTGCCTACAGAAACTAGAAATATGTTTCCTGGCTCTTAGGTGAAAAATCAGATTCTCTCATTGGCTGGAACAATTATTAGATCGAGAATCCAGGTCAATGCATGACCAATAATAATAGATGTAAATTGACGCCAGCCCCAACACTGTGTGGAACATAGAGAAATGAAAAGAAAATTATAAATATAAACATTTTTCAACATCTCAAAAGCCGTTATTTTCATGTTAAATGATAGCTTGCTTAAAATCACTGTCATCTGATGATTTTGTTTCAGAAAACAATAAACATGATTTTCTTCAAGCAGCTTTTTTAAAAATTACCTTTTTATGTTTTTTATTTGAGTTTTCATTTTCACCTATTGAATTATTTCCCTGAAGAAATGTGAGGGGAAATTTCAAATTCCAGCCTATCCTTTGAGGCCCTTCTTTATATGCAAAGGAAAAACTTTCCAGGCTGGATTGATTGAGGCACAGGCATAAGGCTCTGGGGGGTGGGGGAGCTGGGGAGTAGCCCCCATCACCCAGCAAGTAGCTGCCTCCCAGGGTACCCTCTTAGGCTCTGTGGAGGTCGACCTCAGGCCAACCCTTTCTCAATTTTTTCCCTTTGGGGGAAGAGAGGGTGTGAATCGAAAATCAAGGAAGAGATTAAGTCGTTACCAGATTCCTAAGGGATCATTGTCACCTCCCTCCTAAGTCCTGAACGCCATGAGCCTGTGTTGGCAAGGGTTGTACAGATCTTATAAACTGTCTCCAGAAATCCAACCAAATCGCGCAAATAGTCTTTCTTCAACCTACACAGAATTGAGGATTTTAAAGCTAATTCAAGGGGTTTTACAAACCCCACAAACACAGTCGTAAAAATGCCATTGGGCTGATATCATATTTTACAGAGAGAGAGACAGAGAGAGAGAGAGAGAGAGAGAGACAGACAGACAGAGAGAGAGAGACAGACAGAGAGACAGAGAGAGATATCTGTGTGCTGTAAAAGTCAACTATCTCAAAGGCACACCTCTCAAGAGAGAGACCAGTCCAGGGCAGGTTTTTCATGTCCTACTTTGGGACCGCCAGGCCTGGGACAGCAGTAAAAGCAATTCAGGATTTCTGGAGCCGGGGAAACAACTATTCCCGTTTCTGGAGCAAATGCGGGGCGGCAGCCCTCGGAGCAGTCCCAGGAAGGGCAGGAAAGAAGGCGCGCCCCGAGACAGTGCCGGCTGTCGGGCGCCCCGGAAAACAAACCCATCAATTATCCCACAGCCTTGGGCCCTGCGGAGCTGCCCTCTGTGCCCGGCTCAGCCAGGGGCCCTGCGTCTCCTGCGCTTCTGGAATCAGGGCAGGGAGAGCCCGCATCTGGATTTTTCTTTGCCTCAGCTCTGAGCTCCGGGGGCGCATGGCTAGTCCCAGGGTGCTGGGGCAAGGGAGCAGGTCCCACGGCTGGCTTCGGAGCCCATTCTCACCGCTGCTCCTCTGTCGGTCCCTTCTCGTTGAAACCAGTGGTTTCTGGCCTCTCAATTCCCTGGGTTCAAAGGCGGGATGGGGGTGCCCAGCCGGAAGGGATGCTTTGAGACCAGGCAGGCTC